TACTACTACTACTACTTTTGGTATTACGAGTATTATTATTATTACCACTATTATTTGTATTTGTATTATTATTACTATGATTATTGATATTATTATTACTGTTATTATTATCATCAACACTATTACCATTATATAAAATGATATGTGATCAATCCTCAAGCGGGAACCACCCCGTGTAGGGACGCCAGGGCATGTTAGTAAGCCGAGCGGGTCGCCCACATCCTGTACGTGTCGTCGTTTGGTCTCTTGGGGCGTGGGCCTGGGGAACGTCTCGAGCGGGAGGCTCGTCTGTGAATGATGTGCGAGGAAGGTTCAGGTGGGAATCCCTCCATATCATGTTAATAATGCGAACGGGTCATCCACATGGGCCTGTCGTGAATTCCCACACCTTAAATGCTTTTGTTTTCTCTGGACACCCCGCGCAGGAACCCACCCACATCCACATCTTCATCATCGTCCTCATCGCCATCATCATCACCATTCCCTTCGTTACTCACACACTCATACATTCACACATCATCATCGGCCTTTTCATCCCCATTCACCTCCCCCACTCATCATCATCAACATCACCGACATCATTCCCACACTCATGCGCACTCACGCACAAACGCAGTCACACACTCACGCGCTCATGCATTCATTTTGAAGAAGTCTAAGGCGGAAGCCTCGTTTGTGAGTGGCTTGTGAATTGTTATGAAATCTCCGGCGGGAGCTCCCCTCTTATGGGGCCCGCACTTCACGTTGGCACTCCGAACGGGTCATCCAGATCGTGTAGCTGTCGCCACTTTTCGGCCCCTCGCGCGTGAATTTTGAAGAAAGATCGGGCGGGAACCTCGTTCGTGATTGAATTGCGAAAATACCCCTGGACTTTCAAGAAGGCTCACGCGGGTTCGTCTGTGAATGAACTGCGCAAACAAACAAGGCGTGAGGTACCATCGTTTCTTTCGGGTTTCACCCAGACGACGAGCGGGAATGCGAGGAGTGCGCGCGGGGCCGGGGATCTGGCTGCGGGCGCACGGTTTCGAAGAGTCCCCGATCTACCAGGAGGTCGCCGGAATGCTGCTACAGACCGCCGAAGGCGTTGACGACGACGGCGAAGCCGAGGCGCTGGCGAAGAGCTTGCGGATGTTCAGGCCCAGCGAAAAACACTCACCTGGCAGAGCTCGGGGCCGCACGTCGTGCGCCGCTCGGGGTTTACCGTGATGCGCGCGTCGTACCTGGCCCCCACGCTGTCGCAGGGCCAGACGCAGCGCAAGGGCGTCACCATCGACTTCGCCAAAAACAAAGACGCTGGTCGCACGGGCATGTCCTAGCTGCGCCTCTTCGTCATGCTCTCCCGCGCCATGTGCATGCGGAACATGCTGATTGTGCGGCCGCCCGCGCGAAAATTCCTGGAACGCGGGCCGCCCGCGTCCCCGCGGAAGGCGCTCTGGAAAATCGACGAGATAGCGGAGAGCCCCAGAACCGAGGCGGAGCAACTCGCAGCACGGCTGGGCTTCGCGCTGCCCACCGCCTGAATGCAGCCGCGCCCACCTCGAGGCCGGCGGGGCTGTCCCAACGGCCTGGCCCGCGGGGTTGTCTTGACGGCCTGCCCCCGCTCCCCAACGGCCCGCGGGGTTGTCCCAAAAGATTGCCCTAAAGGCTTTGCGACCTAGCCTTCGGCGAACAAGCAGGTGTTGGCCGAGGCGGCGACGGCGCCGAGGAACATCGACTTGCCTGCCCCGACCAAGGGGGATGATGAGGTATCGGGGAGGGTCATGATGAGGACAACGTGGATAAGAGGAGGAATCTACATAGAAGGGAAAAGAAACGAGAGAGGGCAAGATGAGGGTCCGCCACGGCGAGGGGGAAAGGGGTAAGGGCAAACTAAACGTATCCCCAGGGGTCCTACCGTCGGAATAACTTCTGGTCTCTTGAAGCGTGGATGTGGAAAAACTCGAGCGGGAACCTCGTCTGTCACTGCGTTGTGAGGAAGGCTCCAGCGGAAACCTCCTCCTTATGGGGCCGCCAACTGTTATTACGTAATCCGAACGGGTCACCCAGATCCTGTAAATGTCATATTGAATCTCCTGAGGCGTGGGTGCGGAGGAAATCTGGACCAGGGTCTTCGTATGTGAATGAATTGTGAAGCGTTTTCAAGCGGGAACCCTGTTTCGATGGGGCCGCCAAATCATGTTAGGAATCCGAGCTGGTCATCAACATCTTGCAAGTTTTGTCTCCTTTGGGTTCCTTAGGCGTGGGTCTCGAGGAAATCTCGAACGGGAACTCCGTCGGTGTGTGAATTGTAAGGAAATCTCCAACGGGAGCCCCGTCCCTACGGGTCTGCCAGATCACGTTACTCATCCTAGCGGGTCGTCAGAATCTGAATATGTCATCGCTTTCTGGCTTTTTGAAGCGTGGATCTCGAGGCAGTCTCACGCGGGAACCTCATTGTTGATTGATATGCGTGGGGGTCTCTGGTGGAGGCCCGCTCCCTATGGGGCCTCCGTATCACGTTAGCAACCCAAGCGGGTCATCAAACTCCTGTTGGGGTCGTCATATTTGGGCTCCTGAAGCGTGGGTCTGGAAGACGTCTCGAACGGGGACTTCGCTTGCTTGTGAAAGATGCGCGAAGAAAATCTCAAGTGAAAACCCCTCGCTCAGAGGCCTCCAGATCATGGTAGTAATCCGGACGGTTGATCCACATGGATCAGTCGTTATTTTTGTCTCCTGAAGCGTGGCTGTGGAACAAATCTCGAACGGGAGCCACGTCGGTGCGTGAATTTTGAGGAAGGCTCACGCGGGAGCCTCTTTTCCATGAGGCCGCTTAGTAATCCGAGCAAGTCGTCCATCTTGGAATTCTCGTCACTTATGGGCTCCTGAAGCGTGGATCTCGAAGGAATCTCGAGCGGGAGCCTCGTCTTTGAGTGAATGGTGACGAAATCGTTGGCGCGAGCCCCCTCCTTATGGGGTGCATGGCCATCTACTGAAAAACACTTGCGAAATTGATCAATACGCGCGCTCGTCGCGACGCAAAACGTCTCGGCGTGTCCATCGTATTCCTGCAGGCCGTGGACCAGTGCAACGCGACCCACGGTGATCCCGACGCGGCTGGGCGCCTCCGAGTCGTCCTGAACATGCAGAAGACGGAAAACATCCACGGCATCTTAAAACACACGTCGGCATGGAGGTTGGGTTCACGGCCGTGTAAATACAACTGAAGAGGTACTGTTGGGGCTCGCGCAGGGACAGCAGGCCACCATCGTGTATCTCGAGCCTCGCCACGAGGGCAAGCAACGCTACGAAGACCGCGGGCCAAAATCAGCTCTTCCGCCACCGCTGCTTGCCACAAGGAAGAATGGTGCGCGCTCCCACATTCACATTCTCCGATTTACCAGGAGGTTTGACTACCTACCAGGCCACCCCAACCCAACCCGAAGATCCGAATTTGACCAGAATTTCGGGTTGGGGGGGGGTACGGGTTCCATGTGTTTTTTTCAACGTTCCCCGCCCCCCCCCCCCACTGGAAATGGAGGGCAAATTGAGGCCTTCGGGTTGGGTTGGGGTGGTCTGGTGGTAGGTGGTGAAGGTTGCCGAGCCGTTACCGTAATACGGAAGGCGCTGGCGACAACGGCCAGGCCGAGACGCGGGCGCGAAACTTGCTCATGTTCAAGCCCTGCGAGCAAAAAACTCACGCGGCACAGCTCGGGGCCGCACGCCGCGCGCCTCTCTCGGGTGTTCACCCTGGTGCGCGTCCTGCCTCGCCTACATGCTGTCGCAATGCCAGACGCTGCGCCAGAGCGTCAGCATCGACTACGACGGGAATGGGCACGCTGGCCGCACGGGAACTTCGACAAGAAACAGGCGAGCTCGACGGCTGAAGCCGAACAGCTCACCGCAGAGCTAGGTTTCCCGCTATCTCCCGCCTGAACGCGGCTGCGCCCAGCTCGAAACCCGCGGGGTTGTTCCGACGGCTTGGCATCGCGCGCCAACAACCTGCGGGTTTGTCCCAACGGCGTGGCTCGTGAGGTTATCCCATGGGCTTCCCGATCTGGCCATCGGAAGGAATACGTACCCTTGCTGACCGAAACGGCTACGGCACCACGGAATATCTATGTGCGCGCCCTTAAAATAGGAACGGGGTCGGTGGCGAAGGGGGGGAGGGCAGGAAGGGCGGAGGAGGTGTAACAAGGGGCAAGAGAGGGATCATGCCGCAGAAGAGACAGGAAGGCAGCTTCCGCAATCACACGATGGATGATGAGTGTTACTTCCAAATCAAGCGCTCATACTGTCATGTGGGGTCCTACCGTCGGAATAATTTTTGACGGGGGTGGGTGGGAACGGGGCAATAACGTCTCCTAGACGAAAAAGACTCCATCGACATCGTCGCTGAAAAGTTACAGATATTGGAGGTGAGCGCCGTGTTCCTGCCATCTTCCCCGTCCAGGCCCTCGACGACGACGGCGGACGAGGTCCACAACGATGACGACGAACGACGATCGCCCACGACAGTTGCGACGAGGGTCCCCGGCAGCTCGCGCGGGAACCCTTTTTTGGACGCCCGGAATGGGTACGGAAAGAATGGGCACAATGCCCAACATTGAATGTTGTCCCAAACCAACAGCGGCCGCTGCTGGGCGGGCGGCCTCCTGTCCCGAATGGACACAGGCCGCGGCGGCGTGGACAGCGAGTCCTGTCCAAAATGAACGAGATCTGCTGTTGGGCATTAATCTACCCATCCTTTCCGTACCCATCTCGGGCGTCCAGACGCTGCGCCCAAGTCAGGGGGGCGTAAGGCCCGGGTACAGGGGACTCGGAAATCCCCGACGAGGTCGTCAAGAAAATGGCGAGGCCGAGCCTGCATTTTGACGAGGCCTCCCGCTGCAGACGTCCCACGAAACTCCTACTCGTCAAAATCCGAGTCGCGGTCGTCAAAAAACGATGGCGAACCCAAGTCCTGGCAAACCCGGGTCTTACGCTCCCCCGACTAAGCGACGGCTCGGGCGATCCCCCGGCGCCTCAACCCCTGCACCACCCACACGCCGAAGCTGCCGATGTGCACCCGGGCAATCTCCAGCTGCGCCCGGCGCGCGCCGGGCGCGCGAGGGCGCGGGCGAGGGGTGCGCGCGGACGCGTCTGTGACTGGAGGGAGGAGGGGGAGGAGCGGGAGGAGGAGGAGGAAGAGGAGGAGGAGCGGGAGGAGGAGGAGGAGGAGGAGGAGAAGGAGGAGGGGGAGGGTGGGGGAGGAGCGGGAGGAGGAGGAGGAGGGAGGAGGAGGAGGAGGAGCCCAGCGTACCAGGAGGAGGAGGAGGAGGAGGAGGAGGAGGAGGAGGAGGAGGAGGAGGGGGAGGGGGAGGAGGAGGAGGAGGAGGAGGAGGAGGAGGAGGAGGAGGGGGAGGAGGAGGGGGAGGAAGAGAATGAAGAGGAGGAGGAGGAGGCGAACGAGGAGGAGCAAGAGGGAGGGGGGAGGAATGAACGGGGGTCTCTCCGCTTTCCTTCCCCTTTTTCTTCCGCCCCGGCCCCACCTCTTCTCCTCCTCGGCACTGCTTTCTCCCGCCCTCGTCCTCCTATTCGCCCACTCCTTCTTCTCCTTCTTCCTCCCCTTCCTCGCCAGTCCCTCCCGCGAACCTCCGCCCGCCCCTCGTCGTCTTCCTCGCCGCCCCCACCCCCTCGCGCCCGTCGCCCTCCTCCAGAAATCATCAAACCCTGAGGGCAGATAGGTTCGTCGAGCGCGTCGTTGCCCCCCCCCTGGGGCCGGTCGGCCCTGGGGATTGATCACGCCATGGGAGCCGGGTGGCTCCAGGGCCGGGCGCCCCTTGAGTGACCGGCTGGTGAGGCACGCTGTAAGAGGTCGGGGGCAAACAACCGCAGACGACCCTGAACGAAAGAGCACATTCTTCGTGTGAAATAGTGTACCCCTAATTCTCAATAAGTCACATGATTGACATGATGCCATCTTTGTTTAAGAGGAAGAGGGAGAAGGGATCATGACGCACTCAAGGGAAAGGGGAGACGGGTGGGGCTGGCGGCGCGGGGTGGCTGCGTGGCCTGCCGGGTGACAGCGACCCAAAGTGGGAGGCGCAAGGGCATCTGCCCCAGCCTTTGGGAGTCCACCAGGCCTGTGGCGGGGGCCCACGCTCAGGTCGGGCATGTCCTCCTACAGGCGGATTTCGGACGAGAAGATTAAAATAGTCGAACGAATTACAAAAAACAAGCCCCCCGACTATTTTTGGGCTATTTTTGAATTTTCCTCCTGTAGAGGGGTGTGCCCGACTTAACCCCAATGGGCGTCCACCATTTGGACGCCCGGAATGGGTACGGAAAGAATGGGCACAATGCCCAACAACAAATGTTGTCCCAAGCCAACAGCGGCCGATGTTGGGCAGGCGGCCTTCTGTCTCGAATGGGCACGGGCCGCGGCGGCGTGGACAGCGAGTCCTGTTCAAAATGCACGAGATCTGCTGTCGGGCATTCTACCCATTCTTTCCGTACCCATTTCGTTGGTGCCGAGCAATGGCCACACGAAGCAGCATCGAGGAGGGGCCGCCAGCACAGGGTGACGCTCGTCGGGTCAGCACTTCTGACGGTGCCTCCCACGGTCAGGCGCCGATGCGGGAGGCGGAGGAGGGGGAGGAGGAAGACGACGACGAGGAAGACGAGGACGAACGACGACGACGAAGATCCGCTGTCGGGCATCGTGCCCACTCTTTCCGTGCCCATTTCGCTCGTGCAGACACCAGGCCTGCGGCGGGGGCCCACGCCAGCAGGCAGAGGCATGAGGCTCCCGGCGGAGGCCGGGGGGTGCGCCTCTGGGGCCCCGTCGGGCGAGTTTTTTTTTTGTTTTGTCTCGTTTTTGTTTTTTTGGAAGGCCTGCGCCTTCCGTGGCGGCGGCCCCCGTTGCAGACGCCCTGCGGCGGCCCCCGCTGGGAAGGCCCCGTGGCGGCGTGGCGCCCCGCGCGGTAGAAGCGGCCCCTCCTCCTCCTCCTCCTCCTCCTCCTCCTGCTCCTCCTCCTCCTGCTCCTCCTCCTCCTGCTCCTCCTCCTGCTCCTCCTCCTCCTCCTCCACAATTACTCAATATGAAAATACTCTCCCTCTTCCCCTGATGGCGTCCGGGTGATGGCCGCGCACCCTCCGCGCACTGTTTTTTTTCACACAGGATGCCGGGAAATCCCGGGAAACGACTCTCGCTGAGGCGCCGGCGTCATTTTTTCCCAGAAAGTGCTGCTCTCGTTGAGGCGCCGGCCTCATTTCTGCTCCCGAATCGTTCCGAATCGTGCTCCCGCTGCAGCGTGGGCCTCATTTTCGGATCGGTGTTTGGCCTCCGTCGTTCAGGATGGCGTTCTCGCCCCAGCGCGGGCCTTTTTCTCGCGCGCCCATCCGCCCGCCACCACCGCGCCGCACCGCCACCACCACCACCACCACCACCACCACCACCACCACCACCACCACCACCAGCACCACCACCACCACCACCACCACCACCACCACCACCACCACCACCACCACCACCACCACCACCACCACCACCACCACCACCACCACCACCACCACCACCACCGCCGCCACCACCACCACCACCACCACCACCACCACCACCACCACCACCACCACCACCACCACCACCACCACCACCACCACCACCACCACCACCACCACCACCACGACAACCACGCACACACGCACGCACGCACGCACGTGCACCACCACCCACTACGCACGCGCGCGCGGAGCCACAGGTCCGCTACGACACGCGTCCGCGGATAGAGAAAATCAGCGCCATGGTAAAGGATGGGAGAGAGGGGTAGGACGTCAGATATGACGCGAGCGCACCTAGCTTTTCCCCCTCCCCCTCCCCCTCCCCCTCCCCTTCCCCCTCCCCCCTCCCCCTCCCCTCCCCCTCCCTCTCCCTCCTCCTCATCCTCCTCCTCCTCCTCCTCCTCTCCTCCTCCTCCTCCTCCTCCTCCTCCTCCTCCTCCTCCTCCTCCTCCTCCTCCTCCCCCTCCCCTCCCCCTCCCCCTTCCCCTCCTCCTCCTCCTCCGCCGCCTCCTCCTCCTCCTCCTCCTCCTCGGCGCAAATGTTATTATTCACAGAAAAGTACTCCACAGGGAAATACTCCGGGTCTGATTTGGGCTGTCTGGACAAAGGGCCGCCCCTTCATGGATGGTCTGGGGGGGTCTAAAGAATTCTCGCCTGGGAGGGTTTTGACCCCTTGCGCTTTGCTACGAACTCTGGAGGAAGTTCAGGGCGGAAGTTACGTTAGAGGGAGAAACGATCTCACTAACATAAACTTTCGACGGTCCGCGAGGATTGCTTGGATTTGCGCGCCGGGCCCCCCTCCCTGGCGCGCGGAGCATGCCAGGGGCGGCGCCGGAGGCGCCGCCGGGGGGCCCCCAGCGCAGATCCAGGAAATCCGCGTGGAGCGTCGAAAGTTTATGCTGATGTGTTCTTCTTCTCCGATGCGTTGGGGGGCGGTGGGAGTGCTGGCGGCGGCTCCGCGCGGCGGGCTCGTGGCCGCAGGGGCGCCGCCGCCGCCCAGGGCCCCTGCCGGGATGGCAGCGGGTTCGCCCCCCCACCCCCCCTCTCCCCCTCCCTGCTCGTGGCGACGAGGTGTCGGAGGGTGGAGGAGGGCCGCCGGGCGCGTCGGCTACGGGCGGGGGGGGAGGAGGAGGAGGAGGAGGAGGAGGAGGAGGAGGAGGAGGAGGAGGAGGAGGAGGAGGAGGAGGAGGAGGAGGAGGAGGAGGAGGGAGGAGGAGGGAGAGAGAGGAGGAGGAGGAGGAGGGGAGGAGGAGGAGGAGGAGGAGGAGGAGGAGGAGGAGAGGAGGAGCAGGAGGAGGAGGAGGAGGAGGAGGAGGAGGAGGAGGAGGAGGAGGAGGAGGAGGGAGCTGGGTTCTGGATTGGACCAGTCGAGAGAAACCGACGACAACGCGCCTCTGGGCCTCAAGCGTGCGACGGGTCTTGCAAGCATTCTGCAAAACACACGCCACGCTACCCAGGTCGTGGCACATACGAGGGCATGAGGGGTCCAACTTGAGCAGGGACCGACCGTCCCAGCATTTCTATAGCTAGCACGAACTGTTCTTAGAATGTAACAGTGTTCCAATAAGAAAAATATTCTTAGAACATAAACCCGATGTGATCAAACAAGGCAATCCCGGCCAGAAATGTTCTAAGAACATTTCGTGGGAACCACACAGGGTTATTAGAACAGTAGCCTAGCCAAGGTAGGGCTATAGGCGAGCCAGGACGCTTCGCCACTGCTTGACCAACACCTTGGTCGGCCCTTTCTTTTCTAAAGGGCGCCTCGGCCCACCCGAAAACCTTCCCGACACAACACTTAGCGGCCTCACTAGCCACCCTCCTGACCCGCTTCCAGACAGACACCCTCCGGAGGGCCCAGCCGACAGAAGGCCCAGAGACCTGCCTGGTGCCGCACCCGTCACGGCAATCCGACGCCGGGCCCGACGCCGCATCCCAATCGAGACAGGCGATCTCTGGCAGATGTGGGAGACGACGCCGAAGCCCGCGACGCGGCAGGGCGGCGGTGCCCGCTTCCTGCTGGGAAAGAAGGAAAAAAGAGGGATGATGATGATGCTGCTGATGATGATGATGCTGATGATGATGGTGATGGTGATGGTGATGGTGATGGTGATGATGCTGATGCTGATGCTGATGCTAATGCTGCTGATGACGGTAATGGTGATGATGACGATGCTGATGCTGCTGCTGATGATGATGCTGATGATAGCAGGGATGATGATGCTGATGATCATGCTGCTGATGATGATGCTGATGTTGATGATGCTGGTGATGGTGATGGTGATGATGATGCTGCTGATGATGATGATGATGATGATGGCGATGATGATGGTGATGCTGATGCTGATGAGGATGTTGATAATGCTAATGATGCTGATGGTGATGGTGATGATGATGCTGATGATGCAGATGCTGATGCTAATGCTGCTGATGCTGATGCTGATGCTGCTGCTGATGATGATGCTGTTAATGAAGATGATGATGATGATGATGATGATGATGATGATGATGATGATGATGATGATGATGATGATGATGATGATGATGATGATGATGATGATGCTGAGGAGGAGGAGGAGGAAGAGGAGGAGGAGAGGAGGAGGAGGAGGAGGAGGAGGAGGAGGAGGAGGAGGAAAAGGGTCGGAGGGAGCCAGGAGCTCTGGATGGATGAGGCGCATTGGGAAGAACTTTGATCTCCGATGACAAAGCTGCTGCAGCAAAGCGACGAGCACGAATTCTATGCACCCAACAACGCCTCAAGAAACAGAAGGACGAGGAGGAGGGGAGGGCCCCTTGGGAGCCCCTGAGGGACCTCTTGGCCTTCGGCGAGGGCGTCCTGGAGCCCTCTCTGGGCAGCCGTGGGTCCCTCTGGGGTCTCTTGGGGCCGTCCTGGGGCCGTCTTGGAGGTCTCTTGGGGCCGTCCTGGGTAAAACAGGGCTAGGATCAGGATAAATCGCTCCAGAGCGTTCCGGAGCGCTCTCAGAGCGTTCCGGAACGCTCTGGAGCGGCCGCGGCGCCCAATACATCCTCCAAACCCGCCGATTCTCAAAGATTTCGAGTTGTCCCGATCCGATTTTGTCCTGATCTTCGCGTCGTTTTACAGGTCTCTTGTGGCCGTCCTGGGGCCGTCCTGGGGGCCGTCTTGGGCCGCACTCGGGCGCGCCGGCCAGCCGGGGCGGGGCGCGGGGCGGCGGCGCCCGCTCTTGCTTGTCGAAGTCCTCCGCCGTCCACCTGCGCCCCGCCGCTGCCCGGGGCGCCGGGGGGCGGCGCCGCGCTCGAGGCAGGGCTCACTCAGGTCGGGCCTGTCCCCCATGCAGGGGGATGTTGGGCGAAATTTAAAAAAACCATGCACCCAAAATGCTTCAGAATAGTGAAAACATGGCCCCCAAAAGATTTTTTGGACTGTTTTTTGAACATCCCTCCTGTAGAGGGACAGGCCCGACTTCAGGCAGGGCCGTCCTCGTCGACGGCCGTGGGCCGCCGAGGGCCGGCGGAGGGCGGAGGGCGGCGGCGGCGGCGGCGGCGCGAGGCAGCCCCCCGCGGCGGGCAGCAGCCGCAGCGCGCGCCCCTATCAGCGCTACAGGAGGAGGAGGAGGAGGAGGAGGAGGAGGAGGAGGAGGAGGAGGAGGAGGAGGAGGAGGAGGAGGAGGAGGAGGAGGGAGGAGGAGGAGGAGGAGGAGGAGGAGGAGGAGGAGGAGGGAGGAGGAGGAGGAGGAGGAGGAGGAGGAGGAGGAGGAGGAGGAGGAGAGGAGGAGGAGGAGGAGGAGGAGGAGGAGGAGAGGGGAGGAGGAGGAGGAGGAGGAGGGAGGAGGAGGGAGGCGGCGGAGGTCCGACCTGCAGCGCCGCGAGGAGCGCCAGCTCCGGGCGGAGGCGGCTCTCGGCCTCGGGGGGCCCTCGCGGGGCGTCGGGGCCGTCGCGCACGGCTGGGGACGGGGCGAGCAAGGGCGCCGCGGAAGCCTGGCGCGAGAGAGAGAGAGAGAGCGCGTTCAGAAGAGCGAGGGCAACCGGAACAGGCACCACCAGCATCACAGGGAGCCAGGGCCAGGGTCCTCGCGGTGGCCCGGTGCCGTTGGAGTCATCTCCGATCTCAGGCTCGGGGAGGTATCGTGGCCCTCTTCGCCAGGATGAAACCTCCAGAACAAGAAGTCACACACACACACGCACAAACGTGAACCTTTGTAGGTGCGCGCAGATTTCTGATGTCGGCTCTGGACCCCGTTGGCGCCGACCGAAGGACCCCGAGCGGACCTGTGGAAATGTATGTTCGGAGGTGTTTGTTTCTTGCCCCGCTGGTGTTGGTACAGTCCACCCGTATCATGAGGTTGCGCGATGAAGGGCGCAAGGGCCTTGGAAGCCCATGGGAACGCTTTTCGAACGAGGCTAGCCAGCGAAAGTCGCCGAGGATGGGCCGAGTGGGGCAAGGATGCAGGGGCAGCCTTGCAAGGCTGCCCATGGAAAGGTTGCACATCCTTCCCATTGGAAGGTTGCACATCCTTACTACGCGGGTAGACTGTATTTCGGCGGTGAACAAACCGCCCTTTAGTAAACCACCCTTTCGTGAAAACGGCCCAGGACCGAAACCGACGGACCCGGACCCGCAACAGAACGTGCCTGCCGCGACGCCCTCGCGCGAACCGAGAACGGCCGATTCGCTGCTCGACGTGTGGGGGCAGGAGGTCTCTCGACCTCCGAGCATCGCCCCTCCCCGCTCCCGACGGGGCGGGGCGGCGCGCGCGCGCCCAAAGCCCGGCGGGCGGAGGCGCTTCAGCATGGTCGGCATGGTGGGCTTCATGGTGACCTTGCACCTCGGGAGGCCTGGGGCGGCCGAGAGGGGGCTTGCGCGGGCGCGGCCCGGCCTGGCCCGCCGCGCGGGCCGTGGGCCCCCCAGGTCGCTCGCTCGCTCCTCCTCCTCCTCCTCCTCCTCCTCCTCCTTCTCCGCGAGCGCGGTGCCCGGCGGAGCTTTCTGGAGGCGCCCCCCCCCCCCCCTCGGCCTCTCTCTCCCCTCGGCCTTCCCTCCGCTCCCAGCTGAAGTCTCGGTCCCGCCGGCCTGCTCCAGCGGAGGGGGCGCTCTTCCGATGCCCTTCCTCCGCCTCGGGGAAGGGAGATTGCCCCTCCCACTGACCCGTCCCGAGGGGTCTGGACGGGAGAGCGTTCGCGACGGGCTACGGCGTCGAAGGTGGCCCAACGAGTCCAGGACGGCCTCCAAGACGGAACGCGCTAGCTCAGGATGGCTCAGTATGGCCTCCAGCACATGCCTCTCAGAGGCCCCGAGCAGGGCTGGACCTAAACGATGTTTTTCGTTTTGTGCTCGTTTCTTTTTCGTTTTGCTCAACCTGTTTTCCGGGTAATCCACCCCAACACGAAAAAAACAAAACAAAACCATAATCCAGCAAAACAGCGTTTGGGTCCAACCTTGGCCCCGAGACCAACCCAAGACGGCTCCACGTGGCCTCGGACGGAGCCTTCCGGGGACGCCCCCGATAGCCCCAAATGTCTCAACACTGGAGGCAATCTATGGTTCTCGCCTTGCTGCATGCTCGCTTCCGATGGGCCCCTGAAGCCTGAAGATGGTTCCGAAGAGCCAGAGCCCCGAATCATCAGGTGTAACTCAGGTTCGTTTTTCGGGATTCCGAACCCGAGTTACCCTGGGCCCGAGTTACCCCCGGGCGTCCAGAGCCCCAAATCATCAGGGGTAACTCGGGTCAGGGCAAACTCGGGTGCGTTTTTTTTTTTTTTTTTTTTTTTTTTTTTTTTTTTTTTTTTTTTTTTTTTTTTTTTTCTGGAATCCAAGCCCGAGTTGCCCCGGATAAGTCGGGCGCCCAAGCGAGGGGAGTGTGATTCAGAATTCCCCTCTCTGATCGATAACTGCCGAAATGGCCTCCGAGGTCCCCACGAGGGCCCCAAGAGAGCTCACTTGGGATGCCGCTTTGCTCTCGAGCGGGCAACTCCTAGACAGCATGCGGGGCAAACTCCTGAGAGTGTTCAAGCTGATCCCGAGCTTCGGTTTGACGGCTACCCTCCATCTCTGTTCCATCGCTTGTTCCTACACCTCCCTGATCCATGCAGCTCGTCTGGGAGTCGTTTCTGGACTTTTTTGGTCGCGGGCAGACGCGTGAAGCTGTCGCCGTGAGGGGGTCTGGGGCACGGGCCAGCCGAATCAGCTACTGCGCGACGCGCAAGACGGCCGGGCCGGCACTCAGAAGCGGCGGCTGAGCTGCTGCTGGTGGAACTGGATGGGTGGTCTGCAACGCCCAGGGAAACTGATGCAACTTGCAGGCCTGAGGAAGAAGATGCGTCGTTTCTGGGCGAGAAGCGGCAAGAAGATAGCGACCCCCCTGCGGGTCGGGTGCTATGGAGGATCTCTGACCTGTAACTGCCTCTGTTGATTGCTAGCTGATTGGCTAACAGATCCTGTATTGTTTGTTTCCTTTTTGTTCACCCTCGCCGCATCGACGCTGATCGGGGGAACCCAGGAAACTCAGAGCACCGCAGAGGCCACCGTGGAAAGGCAGGTGCTGATCGGCGCGAAAGTGCACAGGACTACGGTGATGATACTCTCGCAGGCTGGTGGGCTGTCAGGACGAGCTGGAAAAAGATGGGGGCCTCCGATAATTAAGCAGCACCAGGCTGCCTGCTACCTCTGACACGCCTCTGTTCGTCACCAACTTCGCGCGTGGAGGATGGGCGAGGGCAGCGCGAAAAATGCTTGCGCGACAAACAAAAACATGGGGCGTGGGGCGCACGAGGCCGGCAAGCAGGACGCTCTGCCTGGCGCGCCGCAGCTTCCCTGGCTCCTGCAGGGCGCTCAGTAGCCGAATGCCGTGGTGGTGGCATCCAAGCGCGCCACGTAGTCCTCGGGCTTCATCAGCGGGTGGTGCGCTGGGAAGTCCTCGCCGTCGCACGTGGGCTTCCACTTCTTGTTCTTCTTCTCGGCGGATGGCCGGTCCGCCTCGCAAGTTCCGCCCAGCTCGGTGCCGAATACCTCTCCACGGGAGACGCCGTTCGCATCCAGGCAAGCCTGCGCAAACAGATCCTCGCCCATGGGGCCGCACTTGCCTCCGCCAGCGCCCGTTTTCCAATCGGCGGTGTCCTTGCACGAGGCCATCGACCCCCGGCGCTGTTGTCCGGGCAGTCCGCGCCATTGATGATTTCCACGCCTCGGGAATCAACGAAGCGACCCAGGTGTCGGAGCGCATTTGTTATGATGATCTTGACACTTTGGTTGCGGTAGGCCAACTTCTCCGGCGGAACAGCCCCGGACCGCTGCGCTTGCGGAAGGATGGCGTTGTCGGCGCGTGTAAAACTCTGCCCATACGGACAGAGCACTTGCCGTATGCTGTGGCTGTTGCAGAAGACACGGCGTGCACAGGCGTCGCGTTGCAGCTTTTTTCCTGCCCATTTGGGGCGCTTTCAAGTGTGCGCTCCTGGCGCCGCGTGGGGTTTGCGATCCAGCACGTGCCGGCGCACCTTTTTTCGCATATTCTATCCACGCTTTGTTGATGATTTCTTCAGCATTGATCGTGAAACGCCAGAGGGCACCAGCCTCACAGGGCCGTCAGGCACCGCCGTCCTCGCGCGCGAAGTCGTGCAGGGATTGCCTGGGTGGCAATTGGATAGGATGTTTGGTAAAACTGATGGATCTCCCCGCTTCCAGAACTGGCGCGGGCTTCCATTTGCGGTCCCCTTGCTCCTGCCCTTGCCTCCTTGCTTGCCCTCTCTCGCTCCTTCTCTTCTCGCCGCCGCTTGGCGGCTCAAGCCTTTTCGAAGGCCAAGCTGGGGGTCGGCCTCAGTTGGCCTAAGGCCGGGCCCCGGGGCCGGGGCTAGAAGACTTTCAGGGCCTGGGACCAGACCTGAAAGGGGGCGCCCGCGGCCGCATGATGCCGCGCCTGGCGCCGCGCGGCTGGGGGGCGGCGGCGGCGCTGCCCGTGGGCGCGCAGCTGCGCAGCGGCGAGGGGCCCGGGCGCCGAGCGGCGCCGGCTCACGCCAGCCGCGGAGCACCCGGGGGTGAGGTGGTAGCCGCCGAGGCAAGGCCGCCGCCTCCCCCCGCCGAGCCAGCGGCCAGGCGCGAGCCCGCGCCGGCGCCGGCTCGATGCCAGGCGAGGGAGGCAGAGCGCGCGCGCGCGCCGGGGCCCGCCTGGAGGAGCTGCCCCGGGGCCTCGGCGCCGCCGCCAGCCGGCGGGCGCTACGGCCGCGCTGCAGCCCTGCTGCTGACCCTCGTGGTGGCGGCCGAGGCCGCCGACGCCGACCACGAGGCCGAGTGCATGTATACGACGACCTGTCGGACGTGGACATGAAGGCGTTCTGGCTCGACGGCGCCGTGGCCCCCTCCTCGCGCGTGGACACGCTGCCGATCAGAGCGCACCCCGCAGGCGAGCATGCCGCTCCCGCGGGAGGTGCCGGAGGGGGTCCGCCGCGCGAGCGCTCCGCGCCGCCGGCCGACCCATCTCCCCAAGGTCCGACCCACGCCCCCCCCGACCCCTCCGACTCGGACTCGTCGTCCTGGATCAGGGGTTGGGGTCTTTTCGGCAGTTGGAAGGACATCGGCAACCGCGCCCACTGGATCGCCGAGGGGATGGGCGGGGGCACTTTCAGGGACGTTAGGAGCTTCAGGTCTGCCTTTTCGACTCGCGAGGCAGGAGGTTGGCTGAGCTCCGACGGCGGCTGGGTGCTGTACATGGCCGACCAGATGGGTCTCTACCTGTTCGGCTCCGCGTGGCCGCTCGTCGCCGGGCTCGTGGCGATCCTCTCCGGCACCGGCGTGATCGCGCTCCTGGCCCACAGCTTGAGGACGCTCTTTGCTCCCTGCAGCTGGGCAGCTTGGACATGCGGTCTGGTGCTGGCATGCTGCCCCTGCCCACGGCGCAAGACGCCTGGCGAGGCCAAGCTTGACAAGCTGGCCCCGCCGGCGGCCCCGCCCCTCACCGACGTGGTATGGCATGGCCCAGCCGTGGGTGCAGACCCGACCACCGATTGGTACCGCAAGAGCATCAAGGAGGGCAGGGGCTCCAAGCGCGGCCAGAACGACCTCCTGATCAGGGTCGACTACCGTGTCGCGCGGCTCAAGCTCAACATGAAGTCCCCGGAGCGCATCAACCGCCAAGGATTGTGGGTCGAGTACGACTCCGTGAAGGGCGCGAGCGACAAGGGCTTCCGGCGCGAGCTCGAGCAGCGCGACCCGCGCTGGCTCCACCTGTGCCGCTCCGCCGGTTGCACGGGGTGCAAGGGGCGCGAGAACGAGCTGCGCTGCAAGGAGTACGCCGCCCTCGACAACGAGGCTATCGTGGACCTCGGCGACTACTCGAAGTTCACACCCTGCCGGATCTTCGTCTGGCTCTGGCGGTGGTTGGGCTTGACCTACAAGCTGCTGCTGTACGTCATCTCATGGCTTTCGTGTTGCGGGGCGTGCATCTGCCGCCGGCGACGCCGCCGTCGCAAGACTGGCGATGCGGAGCCTGGTGTGCAGGGGTCCGTGGCGAGGCTGCTCGACAAGGAGTCCGAGTCCGAGGTGGACGTCGAGGACAACCCCTGCGAGGCGGTGAAAGTGGGGCTCATGATCAAAGGCAAGATGCGCCCACTGGCACCTGAAGGCTGTCGCGATGCCGCTCGCGGTGAGCCGACCGTGCTGTTGGTGGAGGACGGCCGAGCCTCGGACCTCACGCCCCCCAGCGAGGGGAACGCGACGGCTTGCCTATGCGAGCACCACAGGCAGATCTACATGGTCTTGCGCTATGGCGAGAAGTGCTCCCAGGCAACGTACTTCCGCGAAGCGGTGGGCATGGCCTCAGGAGTACCACTCTGCATGCAGCACCTCGGCG